AAATGCATAGCACGCTCTGAAATCCGACGATCGGTCCTAAAAAGGCAATGTAAGAATTCAAATTTCAACTCCCTCTTGAGTGTGAAATTTTCTTTTTACTTTAAACAAAAATCTTATATGGTGCTATGTAAGTATTATATATTACCTATATTTATTATTTTATATTATATATTTTATTTAAAGTATTATTTACAATATTGCTTTTGCTGCTTAATACCCATTCAAATATACAACATTAGTACATTTTCAAATCGCAATCCATTTGACCAGTTTTTTAAACACTATTAGTAAAAATAATAGGGTGTGACGTTGGAAAATAACAAATATTCAAACGGACTATATAAAAAATACTTGCAATTAAAAATCTTTTGAATAACAAGTATTTATCAGGTCACATATTCGATACATTTTTGTTGATTTAGAGTAGTAGCAAACGAAATGTGTATCCAAAATGTCTGCTTTAAAATTTTGTTGCAAGATTCTAATTCAAATATATCTTCTTGTAAAAAGGTTCCGTTCAATCTATGTAGTACTTTAATTTTATTCATTGTAGTTCTTCCATGGCATCCCTTGTGCCTTAGCAATATCAGCTTCCAACAAAATTTTGGTCATTTAATCAGCTATTTTTATCGCTTATACGCGTTAGTGTGACTTAGAATACGGTAGGGTTAGTATAGTTTTAACAATAAATTTTTACACTCTTTTACAAATTTAAAAATCCTTTCACCAGGAAGCGACGTAAAACAGATTTGTCTTTTTCGGTAATATATAATAATCTTAAGTAGATAAGATTAGTTTTAACAACAATCGCAACACTTTATTCTATCATTCCGCCTTTTAAAATATAACAGTGCCATCAAATAAAGAATGCTCATGAAGAACAAATGAAAACAACAGATTGACTTGCTGATTGTCTTCATTTGCAAAGTTAATATATACTTAATACTTCTTGGTCCCAGGCAATAACAGGTTTTTAAGTAACCGCTTATATTTCACTAATTTCATAGTAATCAACGTGGTACAGCAGGGAATAGCCTAGGTATACATAGGATAAGTGTGTGTTTATTGATGTTAACTTTTTTCATTTAGTTTAAATAGATGGGCAGATTAGAATCAAAATTCTTTTAACATAATTTCAACTTCAAAGTTTTTTTTTACATGAGCCCTCTACACAACAATAGAGATACCAACATTGTCTTCGTTAGTTGTTTTTAATTTTACCACAAAGGATGCAAACGACAAACGCCTAAATCTTCATTTAAACAAGTTTTCCTATATTTTTGAGGTAATAAGAATTTAAATAAAATAATGCTCTGATGAATTATTTCAAAAATGACGTGTTCAGAATGTTTATGGAATACTTTTTCTTTTGCACTATTTACAAATAATTTGTTAAGATAAGGTATTTTATTTTATTTATGTCACTTATGGTTTCATGGCGTATCATCACTTTCCGTCCTATTGCAAGGGAAGGGGGAAACTTAGGGAGTAGCACATGGTTGTTCAGGGCTCGAATTGTGAAAGGTACACTGTATCCTTCCATTTATTTTCTTTCTACGATGTTTTTTTATGTTAGTCAGTATTATAACTTAGGAATGTGGGTTATTCCACCAAATATGTACATGCAACCATGACATAATGCACTGTACTTGTTTTTTATCAGTCTCATTAATGTATCTACCGAGTGACTTTGTTTACAACGGATAGAATTGGGTAGTTTCTTCGGTCAAAAAGAAATCATTTCAACTTATAAAACTATAAAATTACTAAATAATAATCACACGGTCATTCATTTATTTTATGGTATACTAAATACCCGATGTTTTACACAATTCAAGAGCAATAAGTATGCCGTAACAAATAGTATCTATAGTAACAAATTCTTTAGGCGGATAGGTTATTGAGACAGCTTGTATTACAAGATGGCAGTCGCCCATTCGTAATTATTTGCTACATTTTGTTATTATGTATTATTATTTTGAGTTGTTACCGAACATTGTAACACCAGGTAGCATTAACATTTGATATATAATATATATAATGTTCTAGATGTAGTATTACCAAGATATTTATCCAAACTTGACGTGGCAGCAGTCTATTATTATCACTATACTGACATATTGTACAATGCATTTAATATATTTCTTAAGTACCAGGTGAGGAGGTCTTTTAGCCTTTAAGTTGTATTATTTTATTGTGAACTATATTACGTAATTAGGATATTCTTATTGCGCCATCTATGAGGTAACATTTACAATAAAGATTAAGACAGCTATTATAATACTTTTAAGTATTTCTTATTTCAGTGTGAATGATTGTGCGTGAAATGTAACATTTCCTTACTTATTGTAGCATCGGTTGACATCAGCTCTTTCGTGATACATATAATATTATTTCATGTGCTAGGTATAAGATAGATATAGATTGCTATGACGGTGGTCCGTTTCTAATAATTATAATTTGTGTTAGATGTAAGTTTATCAAGCCATTGTGACATCAAGGGACGGCAGTACATTTTCCATATTTTATTCAATTAATATGACTTAGTTGTAGTTTTGACAAGTAGCTATTGTAACGGTAGTCTTTCTTAGTATAACATTCAACATTTTAATACGTAGCATGGTAACTTTTAAGGTGGACTAGAGGCAACAATATTATCTTCATAATTTTATTGTAGATGTAATTATTGAAACTCTTTTTTACTTAGTCTTTCATAAAACAATTAACTGACTTATCCTCATAAGTCAGTTAATTGTTAATTAACTGCTACTAACTTGTATAAGATTTACACGTTCAAGTGGCAACATACTTTCGTCATAACATTTTAATCATTAATATTTATAAGATTAGTAGCTTTTAGAACGTTTTAGTATCTTTTTGCGACGATAGTCTTTCTCAATTTGTCGTGACAAGGCACCATAATATTTTACATAAATAATCAGGTGAAGAGATCTTTTACTAATCTAGTATGTAAGTGTGTGTAGTTATCATATTATTACCTAGGATTAGTTCTCTTATTACGAAATATACGTAGCACTTGACATTTATATAACAGAGTACGATAGCTTCTGTATAACATTTCCATGTTAAGTATATCCATTCTCAGGTATAGATTAAGTGTGTGTTCGTGTGACTTTTAATATTTGTAGTTTAGTCTTTAGAATTGTAAGAATCGATCGCTGTATAATTGAACTGGTATTCGACAAAGGTCATTATTTGATTTGATTCTATCTGAACCATTGTATGTTAACTTCTAAACAACATATCAAAACCCACTCTCCATACTCACTGACAATAATTTGACATAACAAAAATGACTTTCTGATATTAAATTAGGCTGTGTACGTTTAAAAAACGAGATTATTGTGATATTTTTCGAAACGAAGTAAATTATGTACCGTCCAACGATCTAATTAAAACAAAATAATGCAAAGCAAGAATGTAAAACTGTATCTCTAAAAAGCCTATTTGAATTAAATTCTATATTCAAAATTGATATAAAATATTGATTTTGATCTTTTTTATGTTGGAATTCAATGCGATCGTTTTGATAATAATATTTCTATGTATTTCTCAATTGTGTGTGTAACAATTTCAATGGCCATTGAGTGCTAGCATTTTATTCTAATAATAAATATATATGTGTGGCTTTCTATTAGTGTTTTATTTCATTTCCTATCCACCCTGAACTATTCTGTATCACATATAGTATACTGTATCATTAAAGCATTGTAATAACACATTATTTTTATTGAATATAGACAGCTAAATCAATATACATTTTGTACAAGTAATCTAAATAAAAATATATCACATGTGTATTCCTTTTTAAATGTATATATATAAAAAGGATATGTATGTACATATAAAAAGAATGTATATCACATGTGTATTCTTCAATAAATTACCTAGGAATGTAAGGGAACTTCCATTTAATTATTCTAAAATAAAGCAATGGCTGATAGAAAAATGATTTATACGTTAGAATAATTTATGCAATACAGTATTAATTATTATGATTATTTGTGTGACAAATTACGATACACGATGTCTTCCTTCACCGTATATAAATGGTGTCTATATATTCATAGAAAGTACATATGACTCGGAAAAAGTCACATTATATAAAGTACTTGTCAGGTTTCGAAGCCGCACCTTCATGCATGATGAGAAACGGGCACCTTAACCTTTTCACCTTACTCAAAGCTCACAATATAGCTGATGTTTAATTAAAATATAAATAACTAGCTACTCTCGCGCGGTTTCACCCGCTGCTCTGCTCCATTTGTTCGTAGCGTGATGTTTTATAGCCTACAGCGCTCCGGAACATTGTATTTACCTATCCGTGAAAGAATTTTCGCAATCCGACCAGCGGTTTCAAAGATTACCCCCTACATACAAATTTACAAACTTACAAATTTTACCTCTTTATAATATTAGTAAATAAACAGTACAGAAAACATTCTGTGAAATGATCATTACTTAGAAAAAATAAAGTACAACTTCTTTTTTAATAAATAAGGTATTATAGATAGAGCAAAAGTACAACAACATATCTAGATGTCGCCTAAAAAGATTTTATGCTAAAAATTCCAATTAAACTAACACAAGACTCCTAACACACTTTGGAGTGTTAAACCAAGAAATAGAAAGCTGACTACTGCAAAATATTCAGGTACAGTCAAAAATAACACAAATATTTTTTTAAAGTATAGTAAAGAGTAAAACCAATATTATTGGGTTTCTCCCCGTAGAGTAACTTTACTCTAAGGGGAGTTACTATACTTTGGATTGGGTTTCTTTTTCGTTTTACTCTATTCAAACCTAATGGATGACTCAGCCTAGCTTCAGTGACGAAGAGACTGGAAGGCTATTATTTTATATTAACGTTTAAAAAAAACCTACAACAACTCTAAGATATGTTTATTGGAAAAAAAAATATAAAGACATCGATATAACTAAGTAGAAGTATTAATATTTTTATATATTGTAAATTGCAGTGAAGCGTACTCAGTAGCGTGCCTAGGTGTGACGTCACTGGATTGGGAGCGTCTTGGCGTAGCAGCGTTAGAAGAATTGGCCTTCGAGATTGCCAGAAAAGCTTTCCAAAGAAGCGAGAACATCATGTTCCTGAACCTTATTGATCATTTACAGGTATATATTTTTATTTCGTACTGGGCAGATATTTGGCTCTTATCACGCTTAGTAGTTGGCGATGATGCGACCTACAATGGAGCACGCCTACCCATAAGCAACTTATGCACTCAGGCCTTGAAGACACCCCAGGTGAAAATCCCTTTCTTCTACTCCGTAGCGGTTCTGATGTTAAATAAGCAATAATAAAATATTTATATTTCATATTTTCATAATCTCCAATTCCCAAAGGCACCTCTATTGTTACTTATCTAGTGTCGTATGTGACCACGGGGGGTGCCGGTGGTTTACCATCAAGTTCATCAAGCTGGTCTGCAGCTATTCTCATTAAAATAGTCATACAGTATTTAAAAGAGACTGACCTATGAGTGTGTTTCTGAATTTCTTCTCAAATTAGTCAGATAGAAAATGCCGACTTCATCTAGTTTTGTTTTATACAAATACTACTCTTAAATTCACATAATTTTGACATGTAGAAGTGCTGTTTTATGGACTTATTTGCTAAAATAATAATTATCTATCTCATAATTATTTTTTGACCACCAGGAACGCTTCGAGGCTGGGGAGAAACGAGCAGTAGTTTTGGGCGAAGTGATGGCGTATCGCGGTCGGTACGCCGATGCAGCGCGCTCCTACCGTAGTGTTGGCAGAGACGAGAAAGCGCTGAACTTATACGTTGACCTCCGAATGTTCAATAAAGCACAAGTAAGTTCTTAACTCCGAGTCGCTCAGCCCGCGATGGAACGGGCTATGCTCGGAGTCTATTTGCGCGACAAAATCCGAATTGTGGAAATTCGCCAAAGAACCAAAGTTACCGATATAGCTCGTAAAATCTGCAGGCTAAAGTGGCAATGGGCAGGCCACGTGGCTCGAAGGACGGACGGCATGTAACAAGTACTGTATAGTTACTCGTTTTTTCTGAATTTCAAAGTGTAATCAATTATTCTTGCATCAAAAAAATCAATGGTAGTTTAATTCCCTCACAATACAATTCGCTACTAACCTTCCCAGGAATATGTAGGCGAGGGCGAAGGCCTAGCGGCTCTCGCTCGACGGAGAGCAGAGTGGGCTAGACACGTGAACGAGCCTAGAGCGGCTGCCGAGATGTACCTCGCGGCTGGCGATGTGAAACGAGCTGCTGAAGTCATGGCGGAGACTGGAAGAAGAGACATGTAAGTGTACATTCTTAGATTAGTAGGTAATAATGAATAAGTATGGGAGAGCCATGCTTCGGTACGAATGGTTCGGGGTGGTACCACAACCTCAGAGAAAACCGGTGTGAAACAACCACAGCGTTTTCTGAGTGAGGTTACCGAAGGCCGTATCCATCAGGTTAAAGATTTGGATTATTTAATTGATTTTTCGAGGTTCAAGGATTATGCTTCGATAATTAGGTAGTCTTCTGAGACAGAAATACCTTATTTCCACATTTCAATACACGTAATAAATTATTGAAAAATAACTGCTTTCATTCATTGATCTGTCGACATACCTACTTATTTTTTCGGTATTTTCTAGCTGATTTTTAATAAGAAAACTTATGTATGCCTTTAAATACTATGACGTTATAACTTTCAGATCCGATTATATTTTTAGACATTTGGATAAAACTACCGTACCGAAGTTAACGTATTTCTAAAAACTACTTTTTTATAGAAAATGGTATATTTTTAACTTACTTTATATTTTTAACTTAATTATAGGTTAATCGAGTTGGCGCGTAAACTGGACAAGGGTTCAAGCGGGTCTCTTCGCTTCGTTGCCGAGGCGCTTGTCAAAGCCGGCGAGCCTGCAACTGCCGCTGACGTATACCAACGTCTTGGAGACTATACGTACGTAATTCTGTACTTACCTTATTTTTATCATTATCACCTTTAAGTGCTAACTGCTAAGCAAAGGCCTCTTCTCACATGGAGAAGAGTATTAATCACCATACTTGCTCAAGCCAGACTGGCGATTTCAAACTTATAATTAGAAATTAAAAGTCCACGTTTTCACACGATGTTTACCTTCATCGTATCTGTCAGTAGTGTCTAAATAATACCAGAGAGTACATTTAACTTAGAAAAAGTCACATTAGCAAGTCGCACTCACCGTCGCACAGCCACCATCGCACGACACTAATTTTACAACACATTTTTTAATGTAATGTAAGATATTAGACCATTGCCAATATATAGTTGTAGTTTATTGTGTTTTAGCATTTGTAGTGATAGTAATAATTCTTCAATCGTGAAAAATCAACCACTACATTAAGCAACATGTTTGCTAACAAATAGAACGCTAGAGACTGTTGCTTTAGTCCTCACTTCGTGTACGTAATCCTAAAATTGGGTGGCGAACTTCTTTTGTTTTTTGCGTTGTGTAATTCATCAAATGACAACTCTTGCTGGGGTGAGACTGAGTTTCTTACTGATTAAACGGGTACACTGCGGCGCGATTGCCTAAGTAGCTCGTCAAGACGAAGAACACTGGATCATAATCCGCGCAGCGATTATGTAACTTGTGAAAACGGAGAACGCTGCATCATAATCAATTAGAGTAGAAAATACCTAAGGCATTAAGTCTACGTTAGTACGTATTGTGCATGAAGTTTATTACAACTCAAATAGGGTATTTTAGCTGTTAAAATATTTTCGATTGTTTTCCACAGTAAAGTAGCGCAACTAGCAGTAGCTGCAGGGGAATGGTCGCGAGCGTTCACGTTAGCCCGGGAACATGTTGAGTGTAAACGTGAAGTTTACTTACCTTACGCTCACAGAATGGCCCAGGAGAACAAGTTCGTTGAAGCTCAGAAAGGTAAGCTATTTTATATTTCTTTTAAAGATTAGAAAATAAAGAGGATGGTTCTATTTTTAAAAGCTAAGAATTTCCGATCTTAGTTGGTTTGGTGCTCTACTGCATAATAGTTTATTTGCACACCATCTTTTGGTGTATTGTGGTACTACCTGAAAAGGCTTAGCTTAACCCTTCAACAAGTCAACCGGTCAAATCTGACATTTCGTTTTCATTGGATTTTCTTTCTTTGGATTTCGTCTTCGTTTTTCTTCTTAACATTAAATATGTAATGGTCATCAAATATGTATTAGTTTAAAATGCGCGTTTATAATATTTCCCTTTTATAGCTAAACTAGCGACCCGCCCCGGCTTCGCACGGGTGCAATGCTTATACTAAATACCGCACGGACTTTTCTGTAGACCTTTTCAATGTGTACAATAATACAATACTTAGTACATTATTTTGATAAAACTGGTAGGGTTCACAGGTAGACATCACATTAGAAAGCTCAAAAATAACAGTACTTCTCACCTATTTAATGGATGTTACATATAAAACTTCCTATTGAATCACTCTATCTATTAAAAAAAATCGCACTAAAATCTTTTGCGTAGTTACAGAGATTTAAGCATACAAAGAGACATAGGGACAGAGAAAGCGACTTTGTTTTATACTATGTAGTGATGTGTGTATTATATTAATTCCAGCGTACCACATGGCTGGTGAGATAACAACAGCGATGCGTGTGTTTACAATTCTCGTCGGTAACGCTGTGGCTGAAGAGCGATTTTCCGATGCGGGCTACCTTCACCATTTATTAGCAATGCAGTGCTTAGAAACTGCTGCGGCTGCTACCACTGATAAGTATGTAGTTAAACATATGTTACTGCAATTTTATATACTGCTTGTGATACCGAGGCTTCATAGAAAACCGGCGTGAAATAAAGCTAGCGTTGTCGTGTGAATGAGGTTACTCGAGGCCCAGTCCTTTTCCACTCTTACCCTGACCATCATTTTCCTAATACTCAAAACGTAATGACCTTCAAGAGTGCGGTTTCGTCCATGAGTGGTGTTGACTTCTTACCATTAGTTAACTCGTCAGCTAATTAGCCTCCTTTTACTATAAAAATAACCATAATTATTTTTTTACCACAGAGAGCGCAATAGATCGCTGCGTGAGTACGCAAACAACGACCGACTGGCCCGTATCTACCACGCGTACGACGTCGTACACCGCTGCGTTCACGAGCCTTTCTCTCTCACCCAACCTGAAGCTTTACTGAACGCGGCGCGGTACATTCTCGCGTTATTAGACGTCGAACCACCTACTGGAGTTTCTATGTTGTATCCTTTATTAATAGTATTGAGAACCTTTTACAGGCCGAAAGCTTACAGAGATTTTGACAATACATAGTTTTTAAACAATTTTCAACTTCATCTTCAAAGACATAAGGTCGAGAATCGTATACAGATATGAAAAAGTGGGGACTGAGCGCTCTGAACAACACATTCAATCCAGGTAAAACCCTGCCAGGCTTTAGTATAAGACTACAGTAGTCAAATTTAATAAAAAATAAAATAATTTCAAACAGTTCTTTATGTCAACACAACTTTTCTTTATGTCAGTCAGTTTCATTCTTTCATATAATACTTATCTAACTAGTTGATAAACATATACTAGCAATACTCTTATTTTAATCATCTATGTACTTCACAAATAAGTATTTCTTAACAAAAAATGCAGTTGCTTGTACCTTTGCCTATCAAAACAAGCAAAGGCACTGAACGCGAACACACTGGCTCGGCAAATGTTGGACAAAATATTGGGATTGCAGATACCGCACAAGTTTCAGGTTTGTTTCAATTTATTTTTACAACACTTCTTTTAAGGAAGAGCGTTGCCTACTATCAGGGTCTTGTCGTGTAACGTTTGTTTACAAATATACACATCAGACCCAGATCCGAAACAACAATTTTTGGATCATACAAAAATTGTTGCGTCCGGGAATCGTCACGTCAACCATGCAATCAAACAGGGAAGGCACAGATTGGGTATAATTTAAAATCAATTTTCGTTTTTGTATTCACTTGACTGCTAATATTAAACTTGTTTCCGATACACCCGTCGTAACGACTGTTTGTTGTTGGGTGATGGGTGTAATGTGAGGTTTTCTTACAAGACAACAGAGTGAGTTGACAATAAGCCAAGTTGCTAAGTACCATTTTCGTATTATCAACACCGTAATGTCTGTATGTACATTGATAGATATATTAGTACGATTGTTTTCAAGGTACTTTTTGTAACTTACATCTCTAGCTGTAGTTAAACCTAGACTCATTAGCGGGACAGGGACATTGTACTTTATCTATATTTGTCGTTTGTTTAGGAAAGTGTAGAGCTGCTAATCCTGAAGACTCGCGCTAGTACGGGCGGCGAGTCTCGGGACGACGAGGTGGCGCCACTGTGCTGGCGGTGTCGACGTCATACGCCCCCACTCTGTGCCACCCGCTGTCCATTCTGTAGACATGCGCTTGCGCACTCTCTCGCTACACACGGTTAGTACTGGAGTACATTTCACAGATTGAAAAAGTGTAACCACGGAGTTTCTTGCTCGTTCTTCTCTATCGGAATCTACATTTTGGGACGAGCTAGCTTCACTAGAGTACAGACCGACAGACTGAAACTTTTTATCTTTAAGCTTTGTTTGACTTCAAAAGTTCCTAAATGATTTTGACTTTGACATTTGTTTACTACCTTAAGATAAAAGAAGTAGTTTTTTGTCATTACCTGCATAAATTATGCATGAAATATACAAGGTGTAAAAAGACACTTAACGAAGCCGAAAGCCACGTATTCTACCCATTATTTGGATCATTTTTCTCTTTAAGACCATAGCTGGGACTCCACAGGTTCTCGAGATATTGAAGGTCAAAGATGCATTTTTTTTTGCGCAATCGAATTCTAAGTATTATTACAAAACTTTTTTCCAAACAAACATTACCTGAATTTTTAGATTTTTCTAAATAAATTACGCATTTGAAGTTACGAACAGTAATGGACGTAATAAATAAATGCAGACCCGCACAAAAAACATCCTGCATCTCAGTAGGATTTTTATTTTACAGAATTGTTTTGTTGTTGCGAAGTAAAACGTCTACGTACTTATCACAGCGTTTTAATGCTAAGTTGTGAACCTACGCACACACAGTCACGAAGCCCGTTTGCTTCACAATGCGCGCAATATTTTTTTTTATACCAAATAATAAAAGTTGTTTCCCAGTGAATTTTAGCGTAAAGCTACTTAGTTTGAACTGCAGTATGCGTAGTTAACGGCTTCATTGAGTGTCTTTTTACACCCTGTATGTAGCAAGTTGTTAGTATTTACCTATTAATTTTCTTGTTCTCTTTCGCCATATAAGTGAGATTGCCATTGGACTTTATTTACATTTCACAGAAGTCCTACCTCTAGTCCAATTCGAGCCTGCGGAAGGTATAAGTTATGAAGAAGCATTAGATCTGATAGAACGCGCTCCCCTCCCAGAGACCACTCTCGCTGACAACACAGACTATGGTGCTGAAGTGCTCAGAATAGACCATGATGTCGACAGCAATGATCCTTTCTTAGATAAAGTTGATGAGGTAAGGGTTATCTGAACGTACAATCGAGAAAATCACGACTCGCTTAGGCCAATTAAAGTGCCTTAGTGAGTGATTTCACTCTATTCATTCATATTTATTCACACTCTAAATAATAAATACGTAACATTGTTTCCGTGAAGATCTGTGTAACCATATTCTAATATTGAAGAAAATTAGTATGCAGATATAATTAGATGTATTTTTAATGGGCGATAAATCATAAATTAAAAGTAGGTTAATGTATTTGTAGGCAACTGTATATAATGCAAAAATTGCCTTGAAATGTGATGAAAAACATAACTAACTGTAGATGCAATTTAACGATCGTATGAAAAGGGCAATTGTGATGATTTTTTTAATTACACAATTTTCACCTTTGTTTGTGTTAACTTAATTATAATGACAGGACGATGAAGTCGGAGTAGTCGTATGTAGCCGAGGAGCCCTACTACAACTCAGCCCAGCGAGCGTGATAATCATCAATAGACCACCGCTACGACCTATCATGTACCGCAACATGTTACCTGAACTACCAGCCACTGCCTGCCAGCATTGTCATAAGGTAAGTTACTATACTCCAAGACTTTTTGTTAGAGTACGCAACATACATGTTTTGTTATTTATATGTTGGCAAACAAGCTAATGGATCACCTGATTTTAAGCGATTGGTACCATAGTAGGTAGAAGTGCGTTGCCGGCCCTTAGTGTTCTTAAAGATTCAAGGTTTAGGCTTATGGGGGATAAGGGTTGGGTCTCCGGTAATGCAAGCGTTGTTTCTCGAAGACGTAGTATCACTACGGTTGAGCCGGCCAATTCTTGTGGAAGCATAGCTCTCAAACACTTTAGTACTATGTATGCGTTTCCATCTGAAGATTGTTAATGATATACTAGCAAAAGCCGGCAAACTACATTTCGCCACGAGATGTATTTCAAAAAATTGGCGGTTTATGTGAAAAATAGATTTTCCCCTTTTCTATTGATTTTTTTCCTGAAATTTCTTTGTTATAAACCTTACAAGAGCCCGAGACCTTTCCAAGGAATGCAAAACCGTTGCAATTGATTCGTGCGTTCTGGAGTTATAACATTAGGTAGGAAAACCCGACTGAATGTATTAAAACTATTAATGGTTTTATGAAGAAAGTACTCTTTTAAATCCTATACAAATATCAAAATAATTTTAAAAAACACGCTGCTCATGTAGCAAGCCTTCAGATAAGACTTGAAATTAGTAGAATTTTCCTTAAATCGTTCACCGGATTAAGTTGTAACTGTAACCAGTTTTTTTTTAATTTCCTTTAAGAATTTTCGCATAAAAAACTCAATAAGACACTTATGAAATACTATTTTAAACACCATTTATTGTATACACAGCTGTTCTACTTAGAAGACTTTGAGATACAGTTGGTGACAAGAGGACATTGTCCATTCTGCCGTCACCCTGCGGAGGAACCGCGGCCTGAAGACGAAGAAACTGAAGACTCTTTGATAAACGACTCCAGTCCCACCCCAACTAGTCCCAGCAACGATCGTGGTTCTTGGTGATACCTTCATTATCATCATCATCATCAGCCCATAAGTGCCCACTGCTGAGCAAGAGCCTCTTCTCACACGGAAAAGGTTTGAGCATTAATCACCACGCTCAATGCGGGTTGGCGATTTCAATCTTATAATTAGAAATTATACCTTTATAGCTACAATTTTAAACTTATCCTACTGTCCAAAATGGTTAACGGATCTTCAACTTTATTGAAACAGGATAAGTTTAAATTTTAAATGTTGTAGTAGCCCGGAGGTTGACTAACCTCTTTTTCTTGCATGAGCCCTAACAAGTACGAATGCGGCTTTTTCTGAGTTGTTGCAATTGGTGTTTAGACACCACGGTAGATAATGGAGAAAGTTAAAAATCTATTCTAAAATGTTCAAATTGAAGTAGTTTCATAGTATTAGTGTATTTCGTTTTTGAACTTCTCTTGTAAAAATGAAGTCGTGTACTTCATTCACTATCCGAAAGTCTGATAAGATAAATAGAAAAATCAGTTAGTAGAGTTTCCTTATACTTACCTGAATATGTCACAATGAGTGCAGTAGTCAATTTTTTAAATGTAATTATAGTTGTCTGGTTTAAATACTTTGAAAGTATGTTCTAGGCAAGCCAGCGTCGCTCAAGCCAAGTTCAATTAACTGAGCATCGTGTGTTATATTACAGGATCTATTTAAATCTACTTTTGACTACTTTTGACCTAATCATAACTCCTCATATCTACAGGATTTTTATTACGGCTTTCGCAAGTTCTAAATCTGTTACTAAAACTTGTATTTTTTGGTCGAACATAAACATTAATATCTATATTAGAACAAGTCAATTCAGAGTTTAAGCTACAGTATGTCCATATGTAAATCATTTATTTCAACTTAACCATAAATAGGTAATTTGGAAACGTCAAAGTGTAGATTCAAATAGAAAAGAAAGAAAAAATACTAAATCAATCGTTACTTTAAAAAAAATCATACTTATGACATCCTAAGTTATAGGAAGAAATAATAATGTATGTCTAACTGTCCATTGTCCATTTGTTACCTTTTGTCGTTAAAGTCAAGGTACATAGATATAATAATAATAATGTAAATTGGCTCTCAGTTCACATTTATATTTTCGACATGATGAGTATAATCCCAACTCACTGCTTAGTAAATCAGTATGAAACAAAGTTTTTTTAGTGACACCATGAATTCAGAATCGGCTGGTAATGTTTTTATTGTGGTCTTGGTTGACGTTGAAAGGGCGCGGGCGCTTTGTGAAATTAAATAAAATGTTGGTGCACCCCTAACCACACCGTTATCCACCCTGCCTCAAAGTGCTTACTTCACGTCGCTACTGTGGATCTTGACTTACAGAGTTGTAGCGGTTTTGAGAGGTTGTGCCGGTATTGTACCAAGAAAAGGACTGGTGCGGCTGGCTGGTAAGTTGGGTAACGTTAGCTAGAGGCGCCCCTGGTCCTTTAGTTTTATTAAGAGAATCCATCCGAAAGCAGTATTACCAAAGGAAAATATTCTTACCAATTCCCAGTTGTAGATAACGTAACGAAAACATCTAAAAAAATTAACTTTAACCTTGTTATTGAAAAACTACGATGTTTTGTCTATTTTCTAATCAGCTTAATCTATAAATAGTCTCAAGTTGAGCGTGAGCGTACGGCTGCGAAAATGCTATCGAAATACAATTTGTTTTGACTACACTAATTGAGTGAAACAGATCAACTTATTCGCAGACAAAATTACATTAACGTCTGCGACTCAATTATAGGCACAAAAGCCCTCGAGGTTAAGATTCCAGATCTCTTTATAGTGCTTTTTATATCAACAAAACAGATGTACTAATAAAATTAATCGAGGTTCATTTTGGTAATTGCTTTTCACCACCTTGCCATTCTTAGGGCAGTTTGTCCTATATCAAGTTGTAAAGCAATTATACTGAGTCGAATTTAATGATAGACCGGCCACTACCGACGAATTTGTAGCGAGAGTGTCATGAATATTTTGCTTTATGTACTTATAAATATTAATTTTAAGATGTATTTCTTAAGATGATGTTTATTTTTATTTTATTCGTAAGTGTAGATATTGTTTGTTTTTCGATCACTACGAAATTGCCCGGTAAATACGTGCAGGTGCGATTTAAATATATTGCATACCCATATGTGGTACTTACAAGGAATTTAAAATTGAAATATCATTAACGTGATAGCTATTCCGTCCATTTTATGAATAAAGTTTATGTATTGATAACATTGAATGTATTTTGTGAATTTATATAAACAAACTACAGTTTAAAGATACTGTACCTAAGTAATTGAAAGTAGTTTTAGTTGTTTCTAGTGTTCATAGTGACATAAGAAATTATTATTGTATTAATAAAACTACGAAATTGGTTCTTCAATGTATGACAATTTATTTAAACATAACGTGTATGTATAATTAAATTAATGTGACGTTACCATGACAGAACAATAACCGCATAATTCCCACCAAAATTTCCTGTAATTGATGTTAATAATACAAAAAATATGTCAGCCTTAATGTACATGTATCTTTCTTAACTTATAAAATGTAAAATTAAATTTTGTGGCATAAATACTGTGTACAAAAAGTATTTAAGAAAATGATCTCTTTACAATGATAGCATTATTGAATTGAAGACATTATTTTGTGATAAATGCAACGGTCCCAACGACTGTAGAATAAATTATGTAAATATTAAAAATCGTTTGTTATTTCGTTGCCCCAAGTTCTGATTTTAGTTAAGTGACAGCCGGCCAATCTGTGGTAAATACACTTGTTGCGCATCTTGCGAGGTCTTGTAAAGAATCTGCCATATGTCATGCATGTTTTTGTAGCCTGAGGCAACTAGTGCTTTGTATTACTCAGTATGTCTCCTTCGACAAAATTATAATATAAAGGCATCGTGGAGCCATATGAACAGTAGTAAGTATAAAACAACAATAAAAAGTATTGCTTTGTTCTTTTCGTTTATTTTATGTGACAATAGTGATGATTCCATTTAATAACAACGGGGGAATAATTTTAAAGTGCGCCTGTTGTATCCTAAAGGCTTATTTAGTGGTGTATCGATAATTACATTTTGACTTTTTTATTAACTCTGTTGTAAAAAGAGAAATGAAAATGTATTGCAACATATAAACGTGGTGAAAAAATGTTTTTTAAAATTACGTATTGTTCACTATTATTAGTAAATAACTACTTTTGTTCTTTAATAATTTGAATACATTCGTTAGTCTATTTTTGTTGCAAACATCGAGTCGCGTTAATGCGTAAAGTGCAAACTAGATGTCGCTCATAGACTCATTTCCACATTGCTCTGTTTATAAGGATTCCTCTTGGCATGCGTCGAGGAATGTTTAAAAAATGTCGTTAAGTTTAAAAAAATATTTTTTGGATAGTACGAAGTTCTTATTTGTATTGAGAACAGAAAATAAAGTGAAAGGTAGACTTCAATCATGAAGGAATGGGTGTAAAATTTTCATTGTCAAATAAAAATATTTTTTGTTTGGAATAAAGTAAGGAACCTTGGCACCTTCTTGTATTCTATTATTAGCATTAGTATGTATATAGTATTCTACATACTACTAAAGGAGGCATGAATAATTGACGCATCCGATGTTGCTATAATCTAATAAAAATCTAAAATAGTTCATTAGATAGTATACAAGATCAAAAAATGCAATTTAAATTACTTTGCGTGATCATTGTTATACTTACATACCTACAGATGTACCTTTTATTAAAATATTCAATTAGGTAGCAACAACGATGATCATAACAATGCAATTTATGTAACTGCAACTGGTTATGTTAAGGTAATTATTAAAGAAAGGTCTTATTTCGAACGCATTGGCGACCGGAGCGAATTGATGCGATCACCCGTTTACGTAGCCAGCGGGCAAACCGACCGGTGGCATAGTGCCGTGTTACAAGATATTAATATCTGTGTTAACGAACAAAATAAATAAATATCAATGACAAAGTATTGTAGACACTAATTGCAACCTTTTTTGAGGAGGAAAATCATCAAATGGCTTCTCTGGCCCTGGATGGAGTGAGAGAGGCGTAAGACTCTTACTAAAATCCACCCTTTTCCTTGCCTGGGGTCGCGGTACATTATAGAGCTTAACCCGCAACTTCTAGAATGGAATGATGAAAACTAATATCTTTTTTCTTACAAAATGTCTAGATGTGGACCTAACTACCTACCTATTTAACAGATTGGGTTACATTTGTAAGTTATGTAAAGTATTATTGTGTATTTTGACTTCGAGAGAAAAATTTACTCGTTCTGACTTAAAAAACTTGGCCGAAGCCGGCCGCGGTTGAAACTTGAAATTATTAAAAACTGTCGCTCGTGTCTGGACTAGTTCAGTAAGCCTAAAATGTACCTAACAGTTTGGGTAACACTTCCGGGTTGTGCAAAGTATTATTGTGTACTTTGACTTTGAGAGAAAAATTTACTTGTTCTGACTTAAAATCACCCAATTCAAAGTCTTGGCCGATGCCGGCCGCGGTTGTAACTTGAAATTATTTAAAATCGTCGCTCGTGTCTGGACTCGTTTAGTAAGCCTAAAAACCAAACAGCTTGCAGTGGTAAACAAAACCTTATTATTACAATTCCTGTTAAAATACAAATTTCAACGGCCCTGTAACCGTTTAAAAAACAACCATTTTAGGTACATTTTTAACTTTGAACTTAGGTACTTATAAGTAAATAATTCATGTTCTAGCTACGCAATATGGTACCTAACTATGGGTAAGTTAAACTCAAACTAAATGATACTTAGTCAATGTTGGAAGATAATTAGCTAGGGCTACCGTAGAGAGCAATTTTGATCTGAAACAATAGGAAAGTCAATTTCAGGAATTACTGGATTTACCTACGTATTTTTATATACCTAGGTTTTAAGGTAACAAATTAATGATGTTACCTTGCGGAGCCAGTTATTTTGGTACGTAAGGAGTCTCATTAGATACTTAGCTATCCATAGATAATAAAATAGGAAATTATTTAATACTTAATGGGTAAGCATTTTGCCGCTATCACGTCAGGTGGTTAGCCATGCGCCCGGCAATGGAGAACACCTAGCCATAAGCAACTTATTTGCTTTGGCCTTCAAGACAACCCCCTTGACAAACACAGTCTCCGGCAAGGAATTACAATTAGCGGTTTCCATTATAGAACCGGAGGCGAACCACTCGGTGCTTGTGGTATGCCCACCAGTTTTCGTAGGTACTTTAATCTCGATAGATATTAAATTTTAATAATATAATACCTACCATGTAGAAACTTCATAATTCTGACTAAATAAATAAGTACCTACCTACCTATGCTCGAATCTTCGATATTCAACACGACTATGAGTTTCGAGAAAATCCTAATTTAGCATTTGGTGCTCTTTAGCCGTAAGTAGGTAACTCCACGTAGGTACTTCAAGTAAGTATTCAAACTAAAAAGTGTTATTGGAACTATCGAGACACGTCTAAGAATTGCCTTAACTTAAATAGGCCTTTTGGGATAAGTAGGTCGTAAGATATGTAACAAAATATCGAGACTGTACTTATTCTATTTATTATATTTTTGATTATTGACTTTT